GCTCATTTGGACACGAAAAGTTGCACACTGCTCATTTGGACACGAAAAGTTGCACACCGCTCAGTTGGACACCGAAAGATGCGTTAACGAGTGGGTTTCGTGGTCAATCGGAACGCTCCCCATTTTATTGCATTTATAAATTTAATTGCATTTATAAATTAATCTTAATTTAAATATTCTTTAGTAAGTACTACAATCTCGAACGACTAGCGGGGGGCTGTGCCCCCCGCACCCTCCCTAAAAACTAACCTAACTCAACCCATCGTTACATTAAGCGTCAATCATTGTTTATTAGTGTTCAACTGTTGTGTTAATGTGACGATAGATTGGGTTAGGTTAGTTTTTAAGTAAACTTTTAATAATATAATAGTATAAATAGTTAATAATTGTGATAAATTTTCAAATAAACTGTTAACGCGGGAGCAATGGGTTCCGATTGACCACGGTACGATTGGATATAACCAATCGATGAAAAGAATAATCTAGTGAATTACTATGTCGAACCAATCATTACAAATTATGTCTAATCGTACCGTGGTCAATCGAAACCCACTCGTTAACGCATCTTTCGGTGTCCAACTGAGCGGTGTGCAACTTTTCGTGTCCAAATGAGCAGTGTGCAACTTTTCGTGTCCAAATGAGCGGTATGCAACTTTTCGTGTCCAAATGAGCGGTGTGCAACTTTTCGTGTCCAAATGACCGACGTACAACTTTCGGTGTCCAAATAAACTGTGCGCATTTTTCTCGTGTCCAATTGAACCGTGGGCAAAATTTTGTGTCTAATTGCAACGTGTCCATTTGCTCCGTGTCCAATTGTACCGTGTCCAAGTGCACGAGCCTACATGTCATAACAATTTCCATGACAACCTATCACAGAGTAGTAGCAAGATAAATTTAAAAATACTGCGGAAAGTACAGAAACTATTGCACGTTGAAATAAAAATATACATCCATAATGGCTCCTGCTCACAGAACGCGACAACGCTTGCCGTGCAGCGGAAGTTTGGCGACAGCCAATCAATATGTTGTATTTCCGTGAGACCTATAAGGTTATTACGGAAAGCAACATTTTAGTGAGCTATTACACTGTGTGCATATGAAACTACCCCATTTAATAGCATACATGTGGTATTTAATTAAAGAACGTACAGAGTTAAAGAACTTACAAGAACCTACAGAATTAAAGATCGAACTTACAAAATTTAATTAAAGAAACGACAATCTGCGCGTAATCTGCCGTCAATCTGCTGTCAGAGTCTGTTGGCATGCTCTGCGCGCAATCTGCCGCCAATCTGCTGTCAGAGTCTGTCGGCAGGCTTTGCGCGCAATCTGCCGCCAGTCTGTCGTCAGAATTTGTCGACAGGCTCTGTGTGCAATCTGCATTAGTTTGTTAGCAAATCCTGCGCACAATCTGCCATCAATCTGTCGTCAGAGTCTGTTAAACAGATTCTGAGTAGAATCTGTTGTCTTTCTGTCAACAGATCCTGATAACAGACTCTGCGCAAAATCTGTTTTAGCAGGTTTGGCTATCCGAGTACGTAATATATCAGCCTAAATACATGTTGAAATATACATACACTTTTAACTACACGCAAAAAATATTCTGTGGTGACAGCTAGAAACTTTCTGTTACGCGAGGTTCAGTTGCAGTAACAGAAAAGTCTGTTCCAATAACTGAAGAATTTTTCATATCAACGATTGCTTTTGATTGAAGGAACTAAAATTTTCCGTTCCAAATAAATGGTTATCGCAGATGATTATTCTGTTGTTCTCACAGAGGGTATCGGACTGAATGGTACATAGCAATAAGAAACGACATCAAGGTTACCGCAACCGAAAAGATTCGGTTGAAAGAAGTTGAATATTGCTGCTATGGATACCCAGCCCAGGTAGAACACAGAAGTCATGATGATATCAGCAGGACGTCATCATGACATAATTTGTCACTTAAAATTCATTGATAGTAAATGACGCAAAAGTGACGTAAAAGTGATAAGGACAGTTATATGTTGTATCATAAGTAAAACCCTTATAGAAATATCATACTAAGAATCATTGATAATTACTTATTATCCAGTATTTTTAATACTGAAAATAAGTAATTATCAATGATTCTTAGTATGATAATTCTATAAGGAAAGTGCTTTAAAAGAATCTCTTTAGTTTCCGAAATATTTATATCGCTTTAATATCTTGTTGCAATTGTATAGACAATAGAATGAACATATCTTAATAATCATTAAAAAAGATAACATCAATGTGACTAAATTATGATATATTTTGATTTGAACATAAGATATACCACTACATATTAAAGCTTTGTTCCCGATATTCACTACCAGTATTGAAAATGGGCGCATTCAGTAGAAAAAGCGCTCAGTGAGCAATCAACGATTATTGGTTCTTGCTATTAGATCCTTAAATCTAGACCAATTACATTGACAAATTACTCAACTGTTGTGCAACTGTTGAGTCTGCTGAATGCAGCCAATGTATAGTATATGTACTTAACATAGGGTGCCATGCGTGGTGCAATTGCACCAATGTGGCTTTTTGATCCCAGGTAAAACAGATAGTCAAAATAATGTCAATCTGACGTCATTTTGACCAAATATTGACCAAATCGGTCCGATAGATGGAGCAGTAGCGTTGTGTGCGTTAGGAGAAGGCGCATGGAAAGGATACTTTTCCTCGTACGCTGCAGCGTGTGCGGCCATTTTTCTATAGCATTGGATCCACGGAAAGTTGCAAACGCTTTGAAGCGCCCCATGGAAGGAAGCCCATAGAAGCGCCCCATAGAAGGAGGAGGGCATACTAAGTGGCGGCGGGACGCCGTGCGTTCGAGATCTGCGTATCTTTTTCGTTCCAGAAAGAGAAAAATATCGAGAGCGCGGTCCTGCTAGGCCGGGACTTTCGCTTGCCAGGCGACTACTCTAAACCACTGAGCTACCTGACGCTCCACGCTCACGACACTCTCCTCTTCCCAGATAACGCTCAGAGATGCCGTTCGGAAGCGACATCTCTGGCGCGATCCCGAGCGCACGGCGACTACAGAGAGAAACAATAGGCCTGTTCTTTGTAGCTGCACTACTGAACTAGTGCAATAAGTTAGAGTGAGAAAACGTATATTTGTTTCACTTCAATATATTGCACCAGTTCAGCAGTGCAACTACAAAGAACAGGCCTAATGTTACTGTACCAAATGGTACAGCTGTCAGTCTTTCAAAGGTTGCTATCCTTTAAGACCTGCTGTCCATGTATGTCCGTCTCCACCGTTGGCCCTCCTCATCCGGTGCAAATAATACAAATAAGCCCCGGGGTCGACACCAATTTTTTGGCAGCCCCTGGGTGCTTGGACGCAATGCGCCATGGGGGATCCACCATAAAAAAAATAATGCTATAAAAAATAGCGTTATTACGTACAAAGTGATCTTTTTGGATAAAGATGCCAAACGAGAGAAAGAAAGTAAGTACTGAAACGTCTTTTATTATGAAGTGTCTTTTTATCATTATATGTATATTGTCGCTATTACACACACATATGTATAACTAATATTAGCTTATGCTTATGTTAGCTAGGTTAAGTTATGATGCATATAATATTCATGTTCTCCTTCGACGTTTTCGTTTACGAAGCATTTTGCACAGTTATATTGCATGAATTGTTATAATTTAACGGTTGTACCATCATAACCCATCGAATTTCGCCTAGAATGTTGTAAGCAATACTTACAGGATAATTAAGAATAAACACACACACACCCACTGTGCAAATAATAAACGTTACATATTAGATACGTAACATATATGTTTAATGTCTTTACTCAGTAACGTTTCTTCTACATAATAGCTCAGAAACATATGTAGCAAAAATATTTCTGAGCTATTATGTAGAAGAAACGTTTCAGAGTAAGGTTTCAGAGTATTAAATATATATGTTACGTATCTAATATATGACGTTAACTATTTGCATAGTGGGTATATATATATTTTTTTTTTTTTAATTGTACAATCGGTTACTAATGGTTACTGAATGATTTGGACGTATTTCGAGCCCTATAATTACAATGCTTTAAACTGAAAGCCACTGTTGATGAGCTGTACATTAATTGATTATGACAGGGGGCAAAATGACATTACCAAGAGTGAAAATAATACTACTTACAATTATATTACATATGTGTTACAAGTTATATTTTCAAAATATTACAAAATTTGTCATGTAATATTACTTGAATAAAAATTGTTATGTATTGAATATGTATTCAACATGTAACTGTTGTAATATTACTTTTGACAAAATCTTATATTATTGTTACATATTGTTACATATATAAAGTACAGCTAATGTAATATTGTTACTTGTGTAAACTTGTTACTTCTCAGTTATGTAATTGTTACAAACTGTGTTCACTGAGCCATTTAGTAACCGAGTGTACATTTCCATTTGTGCAAAACAAAATAATCCTTGATCCTTATAATGAGTTAACATATATCGATATCTTTAGTTTATTATTTTATTTGTGACTATATATTTGCAGAAATATTTACCATGGAAGGTACGATCCAAACATAGAATTATTGCTACGAAACGAATTAGATTGACCGAACACAAGTTGCAAAATCTATAATATTCAATAATAATACTAATGGTAATACAAGTCAAAGAAATGGGAACAATATTAGTGATATTGACGATGAGACAGATAACTCTTTCAAGAGATGTATAAACTTTGAAACAGAATATAGCAATTTGCTCGATTTAAACCCTAATTTTTGTTCAGATTATAGTCTTAGTTATTCTGATCATTCTTCTAGTAGTAATAATAATATTGCTGTTCAACACAATGAGTTTATAGGTTGTGAAAGTAATAACCAAAACGTTACAAAAAATGTTGAGCAGTATAATGAACAAAGTGATACAGGTGAAATATTAAACTTAAATAATAAACAAGAAAAAGAAAATTATTTATTGCATGGATTAAGAGAATGGTCTTTGCGTGGAGTGTCAAAGAAAAAAATAAATGAATTATTGGCTCTGTTAATACCACTTTTCTCTTTTCTGCCAAAAAGTTACAAGACTCTATTGCATACTATGAGGAAAGTTACTGTGAATAGATTAGATAATGGACTATTTTGGTATAAGGGAATAAAATTGAATATTCAACAATTACTTTCTGAGGAATATGTCCATAAATATGGTGAAATAGTGATAGATGTGAATATGGATGGTGTTCCTTTAAGTAAGAGTTCTGAAATGCATTTTTGGCCAATCCTTGGTAAATTTCGAAATACAGAACACCCTTTCATAATTGCTGTTTATGTGGGCTCTGGAAAGCCTAATAATGTTAATACATGGTTGGAACAGTTTGTTGCTGAAATGGCAGATCTACAAGAAACTGGATTTCAGTGGAACATAATACTATATAATTATCAATTTAGAATTGATAATTTTGTGTTAGATACTGAAGCCCGCTCGTTTGTAAAACAATATATTGCGCATGGTGGTTATTATGCATGTGAAAAATGTATTGTGAAAGGGACATATTGTAGAAATAGAATGTGTTTTTTTAAACAAAATTGTCCGCTTCGCACTGATGAGTCATTCCGTAATAAATCCTCGTCATTATATCGGTAATTCAATATTAGAAGATATTGGAATTGACATGATTTCTCAATTTCGTCTTGATGCGCTTTATCTTGTATATCTGGGTGTTGTGAAAAGAATGCTCCACTTCTTATCAGTGTCCGTTCTCGATGTACATTGCCAAATGCAGTTGTACTTGAGATCAATAATGTATTGCATAATATCACTGGTTTTTTCCCTATAGAATTTCATCGTAAACCAAGAAGCTTAGGTACTCGTAATATAAGAGAAAAGTGGAAAGGTACCGAATATAGAAGATTCGTATTATATGATTGTATTTATGTTTTAAAGAACCATGTACCTAATAATATCTACCAGTGCTTCCTTCTTGTCCATTGTACGATTTATATCTTATGTAGATATGATCTGTTTAAAAAAATGAACGTTGCTAATTACTTGTTGAGAGAATTTGTAACTCAGTCAGTCCATTCATTTGGGCGTGAATTTGTGGTGTATAATGTTCACTCACTAATTCATCTAACTGAAGAATGTAACAACAGAGGTACATTGGATTCCTTTAGTGCATTCCCTTATGAAAATTTTTTGGATATTATGAAAAGTCACTTGCGTTCCATTCATCGACCATTGCAACAATTGGCTAATAGAGATATGGAATTGCAAGGTGCATTTATAAAGCCATGCCCTCATAAAGATACAAACTTTATAAAACTGAAAAAACCAGTTCATAGTTATCATTTGGACATTGAGGGTCAACAATATACAGTTGTCACCAAAGATTTCACATTACAAGCAAAAGAAGGAGATCGTTATTTCAAATTAGTTAATGGTGAAATTGCACGTTTGTGCTGTGTAATAAATTCCCATGGAAATATCATTCTTGCAGGAACAAAATTTACATGTCTTGAAAATTATTATACTTTTCCTATCGAGTTTTCAGAGTTAGGTATTTTTAAAATGTCTAAACCTGAAAAAGAATTGCATTTTTGGAGAATTGAACAAGTTAAAGAGAAATATGTTGTAATGCCTATTAGTAATGGTACTTTTCTCTGTGTTCCACTTATCCAGTTTTTTCATTAGAGTATGTTTATTTTGTTACAGTCCTTGTTGAATATTACGTTTTAATTGTAATGTGATATATTAATGTTTTCTATTGCAGTACGTTGTAAAATTTTCTGCCACGGATGCAACCAAAATGGAGACTGTAGCCGTAGCTCCATCTTTATGGATCAATTATGATCTTAATACATGTAAATGGCCACCAAAAAAGTATGATTCTAATAAAGTTACTAGATGAATCATAAGAGTTTAATGGAACCAAAGGATGATTTTGAAGATATTTCAGTACAAGTTATGTATGAATATGGTGAGTATATCTTTATAGTTATGTCACACAAGCATTTATAATTTTCTGTAAGATAGCATAACTGTTGAAAATAAAAATACTATCACGCTTCATATATTGATATCATTATCCTAACGTCTCAATAACATTTATCTATAATTTAATCCTTCTTACTTGTATTACCTAATCAGATAAATATGAAATGTATTCGCATTATTTTTTTTCTTAAGCATATTTGTTTTAAACAATATTAGTAACATTCTACAACTTTTCATAGTATATATATTTAATATAGTTGTAAAAGTACGCATTTCCATTATAGTAAACCGTTTTTTATTTTAGACATATGCCAAAGCACGCAAAGCAAATATAAAAGCTGAACACGACAGTGCTATCGATACAGCTGCTGGAGAAAGTGATATAGATAAGCCTAGGAAAAAACAGAAATCTGCAAGATATGAAGTGACAGATAGCTCAGAGCTTGATAAACCACTTGCCATCAAAAGTTGATAGCAAGCTCTGCTCGAAATCTGCTCGCGCAGGTTTGGCTACCTGGGAATATCAAATATAGAAATCCAGATTAAAAAAGCATGAAATTGCTTCCCTTCGCAACTGTACTACATCATATAATATATCACAGTCTTCACTTTCTATGGACCAACATTCTGATTTTGAAAGTAAGAAGAATTTACTCGTGAGCTCTGTTTAGCTATAATCAATTGTATCTTATGTAATGCATTTATATTAATGATTTAATTTTAATAGCCATGTCACCCAAATGTGTGTGTGTGTGCGTGTGCGTGTGTGTGTAATAATTCCCAAGTTCCAAACTTACAATGTCCACAGATATTCCAAAAATATTGTAAAAGTCAATTATCATTTTCTTCAGTTACTTCATCTCTCGAAATTAAAGTGTACGGCAGAATAATGTTTCATTATATTTTCAATTATTTATTGTGAACAATTAATTTATTGTCTTTGTTAAATGTTCCAAATGTTCCAGTTGTTTTATCTGAAATATCAAATAAGACTTTTGCAAATAAAATTTCGCCTATAAAAAGTGCAGTTTCACGGTGCTCTAATTGTATGTATCTATGTTCACTTTATTTTCACTTTACACGCACAAATGTCAGATTTTTATTATATCGTTTTAACAAATATCTTTTATTTTATTTTTGTTACACTGGATAAAAATCCAAGTTCGATCTACTACTGTCTGAAAATATATCACCACCTGATGAAACGTTTTCCTCTTCAAAAATGATAATTCCTCTCAATAATATTAATAAGTTCGAAAAAACTGCTTCATCTCATGAGCCAACGATCCACCAACCAGTTCCTATATGTAAAGTTATTTCTATATTTTATTACTATTTCTATTGATTTCGTAATAATTTTATTTCTATGCATTTATTTGTAGTCATTTTATTGTTAAATTATGTTTCAGCTTCTTTACCATTTATAATGAAAAATGTCTGTATGCAATCAGGTAAATTATATTGCTTCTTATATTAATGGAATTACTTTTAACATTTTTTTTATAATATTAACGAATAATTTTATACATTTTTCCAAGAGTATCTTATTGATTTTCCTGTTTTGTGTTCCTAATTTTCACATTGACTTTTCTGACTTCTTGTCTTCCTTATTTTCCTGACCTTAATATTATTACAAATATGAACTTTTATATTATTTTTGTTATAGTGGATAAAAATCCACGCTTGTTGGATCCGCTACTGTCTGAAAATATATCACAACCTGATGAAACGTTTTCCTCTTTGTAATTACTATATTAATTATTTTTAGATCCACACGTGGCTGCTGTTCTTAAAACTTTAGTATCCAGGCAAGAAGATTTAAATAGTAAAATAGATCACGTTATTTTGATGATTTACAAAGTATATCGTAAATTAGCACCAGAAGAGGAAAAAGTGAGTCATCCGAAAAATCCCCCTGTACTTTCTTTAAATAAGATTCCTTTTTACAAATTCAAAAATTTCTAATGTCTGAAGATAACTTTTACCCAACAGTAAATATTTCTATCACTCCTTCAATTATATCATATATTTTCCTGTGTAGCATAATTTAAATTGCTATTGCCTTGTTATTAAATATGATATAAAGAGATTTAATCAGATACATATGCCAACGTACATCGAATCGTTTTATTCTATATTAAGACCAAATTACACTAATCTAAATATAAGGTAACAGTTAAAACTGTAAACAATATAATATCCAAAATCAGGACATAAGATTTTTTAACATCATATGTCCTCGCTTTGGACATTATACTGTGTAGGATCAGATATTTATTTTTGTTTTTTCCTCAAAATAAAGTAAGATAGACATGTTTCAATTGTTACTTAACTTATTACTCGCTTAGTGCAACCGGATATTGAAATAACTTTGAGAAATAATTACCTTGATTTATTTGAAAAAATTATACTTATGAGTATTATACTTATAAGTATTATGAGCATTACATACATAAATACATGATATGCAATTGTTTTGTTATATATATTATATATAGATATATTATACATATTATATATAAAAAATTATTTTCTATTTATGATAAAACGCTTTTTTTTTTAGCATAATTGTTTTTATTTTTAATTCGAGAATTACTCAATATGTTATATGATATGCAATTGTTTTGTTTCATGATACTGATATAATTATATCATAATTATATCAGATGATAACTGATATAATTATAAGTTATGATATAACTTCATGTAAAGAGCAATTGTTATAATAAATTTATACCTTTGTGATAAAAAATTTATATGTACACTATAAATTAATAATAGTATAAAATAATATTAATTTGTGTCTTAATGAATTTGTCCCTTTTTTACAGTAATAATATCGAAAAGTTATTTTATAAATATCTAAGTTGTCTTTTGGATATGTGTGATGTGAGATTATTAATAGTATTTTCGCCTGAAGCAGATTGAATCGCTCCAAAAAAATGATTTAATTCGTTTTTTGCCGCTTTCTGCCAACTTGAGTTAACTTAACCAATTGGTTATTTCATCGGAATTAACTAATCGCAATTATAAATTCTGATTAACGACAAACACAATTAGTGTACATTAAATAAACATTAGTCGATTATGCTAAAATTGGCTGTGTTCGGGATCTACTACTATGTAAGAAATGTATATTAGAACACAGTGTAATTGGTAAAGAGTGCGACATCTGTCGGATTAATCAGATGATATAAGGTAGAGCAGGCGGCGCTGTGAGAGAGAGTCGAGAGAGAGTCGTCGTAGGCTGCGTTCCGAAATTAACTGCCAGTACTGAAAGTATGACGTCATAAAGTAGAACTGCGGATCCGTTCCGTAATTACTGATGCTGCTTTTCAGCTTGTAATGCAATCAATAACGGAACGGACTCGCAGTAGAAATATTCAGTATTGTGGAGGTTAAGATAAACAAGTTTCATAGATAATTATGGATCAAACATAGCGTGATATGGAGATTGTGATTTTAACAAAAGTTGTAAAATATGTAATAGAATCTTCTGAAAGTTCTTCAGATAGCGAAGAAGATATATTTTTAAGGACTCTTAATAGAAATTTGACTCCACGTTTTCGTTGCAAGGACTATGTTGAAAGTGTTATACCATTGTATACAGACGAGGAATTTCAAATGCACTTTCGGTACAGAAAACAATATACAATTTTTACCTAATGTACATCAAACGCATGTAAAAGAAATATGATAAAATGTGCCATTGATTATTAAAAAAAAAAAGTAATATCAAGAAAATGGAATTTATTGTTTCAGACTTAAACGAAGTACTTTTCAATTCTTATTTAAATTATTAAATCCTAAATTAAATAAACAAAATAAAATAAAAATAAAATAATTATAAAAGTAAAATAATTATTGATTATTACAAACTTATACCTGTACGTGCTTTTTCAGCATCTTCACGACTAACTGTTACATTATATATTTTATTACTTTCTGAACATATGAGGCTTAACGTCTCATCACAGAGCGCCGCCATTTTTTCACTGCTGGTGTCTTACCTCGCCAGCCGCAGTAACGAAAGCAGGAAATTACGTCAAAATATATGACGTCACGTGTTAACGAAAGTACATTGAAAGCTTACTGCGACGTATTTCGGAACGACTTTGCAGTACTGCAAGTACTGACAGTGAGTTTCGGAACGCAGCCGTAGTCATCGTCAAGAGAGAGACGTGGTAGAGAGAGAGTAGAGAGAGAATCGAGAGAGGAAGGAGCGTGTGTGACTAGGAGTAGTCGGGTTAACACGTGGGCAGCGAGAGGAGGGAATCCGTCTCGTGTGCTAATGACTGTCGGTATTAATTAGGAAATAGAGGTTGTGTTCATCGGTCGAAGAGTGCGGTCAAATCCGATGTACGTGTAGTCGGGTAAAGCGGCAGTGGAAGATTTGTAACGGCTGTGCGCGGCGTTCACGGAACACGTGGCATTCGGACCTTTGTGTAGCTTAAATAAATAACTTATTTCTTTGTTGTGAACCAGACTTGACTATTCAATACCTTACAACTAGTACTGAAAACTCTACAGTTCATGTCATATATAGATTTTCAGTACTGACACGAAACTTCAAACGCAGCTTAAAACCAAATATCCAGAATGCATTCAGAAACGTTCTGGGGATGTCGTATAGATGTTCTATGTCCTCATGACGTTTCTGAAAGTTTCTTGTACTGTTAGGAAAGAATCGCTATAAAATCATTCCGATTTCAAAAATTTATCACATATTCATCAAAAAAACTACATTGAATGACATTATGATGATATTTTTTGAAATGACATGTGACGTCATAGTGATATTTTTGTAAGGTTATGTTTTACCTGAGAGGTAGCACACACACGTTTTAAAAATGTTTTATGAACGTTAGAACCAAATCTTTCATAACCGTTTCCAAAACGTTTCATAACATTTCTGAAACGTTTTTCATGAGTAAAAATGTCCATTCAAAAAACGTTAGGTGAAACATTATGTTTGCGAAAAAAAATCGTTGAAGAAACGTTTTATAAACGATTTATAAATAAGGTTTCAGACAGGTTCTTGTTAAAGCGTTTCTTATTGGTGCTTTATGGTTCTGAAACTATAGATATTTTTAAGAAACATTCCTGATACGTGTATGTGCTACCTGGGTAGTGATCCGTATTGTTAGATGAGCCATATTTTCGCACATGTGCGTTACGATTCGGCAATGAATGCAAGAATACAGTAGTATACCATTCTTGGGCACTTAAAGTTTTATCGGACTTCATTCCATATTTATCGATATTAAATTGTATATTATTATACTAATATTATAGTATACTATCGCATCCCTACAGGGTTGAATTTTAAAATATATGTTGTACATTGTTATTTGATGAAACAACACTATTGCTTTAAATAGTATTTTTTTTTAAGTTTCTTTCAAAATTTAGTAATTCGATTTGTTTAATTTAGATTTTCTTGAGTTTTTTAATTTTTTTTGTTTGGATTAATCATTATAACATTCTGTTAAAAATTTAAAAATAGAAGAAAGTAACCAAAAGCGACATAGACCTCCTAAAGCGATATATCTCTATATCTCATATATTAAATGTTGTATTTTATCGAAACTAATATAAACGTAATTCGTTTTATCAGTTAAGTCGTAAAAAATTCATACTTGTATATTTCTTGTTCTTCTATATGCTAAATTAGCAAATATGGAGTTTTAGAAATTCGTAAGTTTTATTTCTATGATTTTTATTGACGAATTACGTAGACTAAACAGCGATAATTATCTTTTTGTTCAATATTAAGTTTTTTTACATACATTTAGCTTTTGTAAAAATATTTTTTGAATATTTTTATCTTCATCACTTTTTTATTGTATACCTTGAAAAATTTTATGAGAATATGTCTTAAAGTGACATATCTACAGTATACGACAGGTGCGATACTCTGTGACTGACATAACTTGATTCTAACTTCCCATTGTGACGTGACATTTATTTATTTTAAAGTTTAATTCTGTTTAGTTTAAAAATATAACATGTAAAATATGTGAGAAATGAAAAAGATGGAATTGCCAAATATATGTTTTTATTTAATTATATTTCCCTTCTGTAACATTATATTTTGAATAAATTAATATTATTCAACCATTAAACGCATTAACTATTTATTATCAAATATTATCATATGTGCAACATGTTATATAATTTCCAATACGTATGTTGCTTTTGACACCCATTTTCTTTGAACTCTATTTTCATGTGTTTTACAAAAACATTTTTTATGTTAAATCTAGAAATAATTTAATTATAAATATGATAGTATCAGATAGAGAGTACTTCTAACTATATGTATATATATTTACATTTATATTTTGAGCTTTACATTAAAACATAACCTTAAAAAATGGAGTACTATGTCGCTTTTGGCGCCTTTACTCTAATTATCACTGATTCACTACATTACATCAATATTCACCGCATATCGAATGTTGTTGCATTGTTCCAATATCTATCAGTAAATTATCCATCAAACACCAAGTAAAAATTATATAATTACCCGGGTAGAAATTGTATCTAGTAACTGTTTGGTTACTAGACAGAAAAGTTGTGTTTTACATCGCTACTAGCTAGTAGTACTAGCTAGTCACTAGCCAGGAATGTAAGAGCCAGCGCACGAACATTGTCGTAGTTCCACACGCCACCTTACGTGACAATTTTACGTTACGTGAGACGTAACCTGAACGTAGGGCAACGTACGTAAACGTTATGTTACGTTACAAAAGAATATATATATTCTTTCGTAACGTAACGTAACGTTTTCGTGCGTTGCCGTACGTTCGGTTTATGGCTTCTGCACACAGGACACGGTAATGCTTGCCGCGCGGCGGAAGTTC